TTCACGGGTTTTGGTCAAAATATCGATTTTTGAAGGCGAATATGGTGATCACAAAATAAGCTTATTTTTCAAATTAAACGTGTTTTAACGAAGTTACAAAGGTTTTAAGTTTCTTCAAGGTTTTTGGTCAAAATATCGATTTTTGAAGTGGAATATGAGTGATCACAAATTAAGCTTATTTTTCAATTTAAACGTGTTTTAACGAAGTTATAAGCGATTTTAGATTCTTCAAGGTTTTCAGTCAAAATATCAACTTTTGAATGGGAATATGAGTGATCACAAAATAAGCTTATTTTTCAATTTGAACGGTCAAAATATCGATTTTTCAAGGGGAATATGAGTGATCACAAAATAAGCTTATTTTTCAATTTAAACGTGTTTTAACGAAGTTATAAGGATTTTAAGTTTCTTCAATGTTTTCGGCCAAAATATTGATTTTTGAGGGGGAATATGAGTGATCACAAAATAAGCTTATTTTTCAATTTAAACGTGTTTTAACGAAGTTATAAGCGATTTTAGTTTCTTCAAGGTTTTCAATCAAAATATCGACTTTTGAAGGTGAATATGGTGATCACAAAATAAGCTTATTTTTCAAATTAAACGTGTTTTAACGAAGTTATAAGGGTTTTAAGTTTCTTCAAGGTTTTTGGTCAAAATATCGATTTTGACCGAAGTTATAAGCGATTTTAGATTCTTCAAGGTTTTCAGTCAAAATATCAACTTTTGAATGGGAATATGAGTGATCACAAAATAAGCTTATTTTTCAATTTGAACGGTCAAAATATCGATTTTTGAAGGGGAATATGAGTGATCACAAAATAAGCTTATTTTTCAATTTAAACGTGTTTTAACGAAGTTATAAGGGTTTTAAGTTTCCTCAAGGTTTTCGGTCAAAATATCGACTTTTGAAGGGGAATATGAGTGAACACAAAATAAGCTTATTTTTCAATTTAAACGGTCAAAATATCGATTTTTGAAGGGGAATATGAGTGATCACAAATTAAGCTTATTTTTCAATTTAAACGTGTTTTAACGAAGTTATATGGGTTTTAAGTTTCTTCAAGGTTTTCGGTCAAAATATCGATTTTTGAAGGGGAATATGAGTGATCACAAATTAAGCTTATTTTTCAATTTAAACGTGTTTTAACGATGTTATAAGGGTTTTAAGTTTCCTCAAGGTTTTCGGTCAAAATATCGATTTTTGAAGGAGAATATGAGTGATCACAAAATAAGCTTATTTTTCAATTTAAACGTGTTTTAACGAAGTTATAAGCGATTTTAGTTTCTTCAAGGTTTTCAATCAAAATATCGACTTTTGAAGGTGAATATGAGTGATCACAAAATAAGCTTATTTTTCAATTTAGTTTCTTCAAGGGTTTTGGTCAAAATATTGATTTTTGAAGGGGAATATGAGTGATCACAAAATAACCTTATTTTTCCATTTAAACGTGTTTTAACGAAGTTAAAACAGTTAAAAAAGTTTCTTCAAGGTTTTCGGTCAAAATATCGATTTTTGAAGGGGAATATGAGTGATCACAAATTAAGCTTATTTTTCAATTTAAACGTGTTTTAACGAAGTTATAAGGGTTTTAAGTTTCTTCAAGGTTTTCGGTCAAAATATCGATTTTTGAAGGGGAATATGAGTGATCACAAATTAAGCTTATTTTTCAATTTAAACGTGTTTTAACGATGTTATAAGGGTTTTAAGTTTCCTCAAGGTTTTCGGTCAAAATATCGATTTTTGAAGGGGAATATGAGTGATCACAAATTAAGCTTATTTTTCCATTTAAACATGTTTTAACGAAGTTATAAGGGTTTTAAGTTTCTTCAAGGTTTTCGCTCAAAATATCGATTTTTTAAGGGGAATATGAGTGATCACAAAATAAGCTTATTTTTCAATTTAAACGTGTTTTAACGAAGTTAGTTATAAGGGTTTTAAATTTCTTCATGGTTTTCGATCAAAATATAGATTTTTGAAGGGGAATATGAGTGATCACAAATTAAGCTTATTTTTCAATTTAAACGTGTTTTAGCGAAGTGATCACAAAATAAGCTTATTTTTCAATTTAAACGTGTTTTTACGAAGTGATCACAAAATAAGCTTATTTTTCAATTTAAACGTGTTTTAACGAAGTTATAAGCGATTTTAGTTTCTTCAAGGTTTTTGGTCAAAATATCGATTTCTGAAGGGGAATATGAGTGATCACAAAATAAGCTTATTTTTCAATTTAAACGTGTTTTAACGAAGTTAAAAGGGTTTTAAGTTTCCTGAAGGTTTTCGGTCAAAATACCGATTTTTGAGGGGGAATATGAGTGATCACAAAATAAGCTTATTTTTCAATTTAAACGTGTTTTAGCGAAGTTATAAGCGATTTAAGTTTCTTCAAGGTTATCAGTCAAAATATCGATTTTTGAGGGAAAATATGAGTGATCACAAAATAAGCTTATTTTTCAATTTAAACGTGTTTTAACGAAGTTATAAGGGTTTTAAGTTTCTTCAATGTTTTCGGTCAAAATATCGACTTTTGAAGGGGAATATGAGTGATCACAAAATAAGCTTATTTCTCAATTTAAACGTGTTTTAACGAAGTTATAAGCGATTTTAGTTTCTTCAAGGTTTTTGGTCAAAATATCGATTTTTGAGGGAAAATATGAGTGATCACAAAATAAGCTTATTTTTCAATTTAAAAGTGTTTTAACGAAGTTATAAGTGTTTTAAGTTTCTTCAATGTTTTCGGTCAAAATATCGAATTTTGAAGGGAAATATGAGTGATCACAAAATAAGCTTATTTTTCAATTTAAACGTGTTTTAACGAAGTTATAAGCGATTTTAGTTTCTTCAAGGTTTTTGGTCAAAATATCGATTTTTGAGGGAAAATATGAGTGATCACAAAATAAGCTTATTTTTCAATTTAAACGTGTTTTAACGAAGTTATAAGGGTTTTAAGTTTCCTTAAGGTTTTCCATCAAAATATCGATTTTTGAAGGGGAATATGAGTGATCACAAAATAAGCTTATTTTTCAATTTAAACGTGTTTTAACGAAGTTATAAGCGATTTTAGTTTCTTCAAGGGTTTTTGGTCAAAATATCGATTTTTGAAGGAGAATATGAGTGATCACAAAATAAACTTATTTTTCAATTTAAACGTGTTTTAACGAAGTTATAAGGGTTTTAAGTTTCTTCAAGGTTTTCGGTCAAAATATCGATTTTAGAAGGGGAATATGAGTGATCACAAATTAAGCTTATTTTTCAATTTAAACGTGTTTTAACGAAGTTATAAGGGTTTACGTTTCTTCAAGGATTTCGGTCAAAATATCGATTTTTGAAGGGGAATATGAGTGATCACAAATTAAGCTTATTTTTCAATTTAAACGTGTTTTAACGAAGTTATAAGGGTTTACGTTTCTTCAAGGATTTCGGTCAAAATATCGATTTTTGAAGGGGAATATGAGTGATCACAAAATAAGCTTATTTTTCAATTTAAACGTGTTTTAACGAAGTTATATGGGTTTTAAGTTTCCTTAAGGTTTTCCGTCAAAATATCGATTTTTGAAAGGGAAATGAGTGATCACAAAATAAGCTTATTTTTCAATTTAAACGTGTTTTAACGAAGTTATAAGGGTTTTAAGTTTCTTCAAGGTTTTCGGTCAAAGTATCGATTTTTGAGGGAAAATATGAGTGATCACAAAATAAGCTTATTTTTCAATTTAAACGTGTTTTAACGAAGTTATAATGGTTTTAAGTTTCTTCACGGGTTTTGGTCAAAATATCGATTTTTGAAGGGGAATATGAGAGATCCCAAAAAAAAGCTTATTTTTCAATTTAAACGTGTTTTAACGAAGTTATAAGGGTTTTAAGTTTCTTCAAGGTTTTTGGTCATAATATCGATATTTGAAGGGGAATATGAGTGATCACAAAATAAGCTTATTTTTCAATTTAAACGTGTTTTAACGAAGTTATAAGGGTTTTAAGTTTCTTCAAGGTTTTTGGTCATAATATCGATTTTTGAAGGGGAATATGAGTGATCACAAATTAAGCTTATTTTTCAACTTTAACGTGTGTTAACGAAGTTATAAGGGTTTTAAATTTCTTCAAGGTTTTTGGTCAAAATATCGATTTTTGAAAGGAAATATGAGTGATCACAAAATAAGCTTATTTTTCAATTTAAACGTGTTTTAACGAAGTTATAAGCGATTTTAGTTTCTTCAAGGGTTTTGGTCAAAATATCGACATATGAAGAGGAATATGAGTGATCACAAAATAAGCTTATTTTTCAATTTAAACGTGTTTTAACGAAGTTATAAGGGTTTTAAGTTCGATTTTTGAAGGGGAATATGAGTGATCACAAATTAAGCTTATTTTTCAATTTAAACGTGTTTTAACGAAGTTATAAGGGTTTTAAGTTTCTTCAAGGTTTTCGGTCAAAATATCGATTTTTGAGGGGGAATATGAGTGATCACAAATTAAGCTTATTTTTCAATTTAAACGTGTTTTAACGAAGTTATAAGGGTTTTAAGTTTCTTCAAGGGTTTTGGTCAAAATATCGACTTTTGAAGGGGAATATGGGTGATCACAAATTAAGCTTATTTTTCAATTAAAACGTGTTTTAACGAATTTATAAGCGATTTTAGTTTCTTCATGGATTTTCGTCCAAAATATCAATTTTTGAAGGGGAATATGAGTGATCACAAAATAAGCTTATTTTTCAATTTAAACGTGTTTTAGCGAAGTGATCACAAAATAAGCTTATTTTTCAATTTAAACGTGTTTTAACGAAGTGATCACAAAATAAGCTTATTTTTCAATTTAAACGTGTTTTAACGAAGTTATAAGGGTTTTAAGTTTCTTCAAGGTTTTGGTCAAAATATCCATTTTTGAAGGAGAATATGAGTGATCACAAAATAAGCTTATTTTTCAATTTAAATGTGTTTTAACGATGTTATAGGAGGTGTTAGTTGCTTCAGGGTGTTCGACCAATTAAAACTCTGTTTCCTTTCGCTTTGTTAATAATATGTTACACTTTATTTAATGCCATTTACAATACAACGTTCGTATTATTATAATTTTTTTTTTTTTTTTTTTTTAATTTTATATATAAATTCTTTTAAAACGTTTACATTTAAATACAAAATACAAATAAAAAACTATTAATTAGCAATATATAAAAAATATGGACAAACACACAAAAATGGTTGTTGTTTTATTTAAAAAAAAATATTGATTTTTTAATGATTTGGTTTTTTTTGTATATTATTAAGTTTACAATAACAATTAATACAAGTATTACACTTAAAAAAAACGAGTAAATTTGTAAATATATGAAAAAAGTATTTAACTAAAAAACACAAAGATTTTTTTAAGAAAAATTGTAGCAAATTTATAATAAAAATATATTATATTATTTATTTTTAATTAAATAACAAACATATTAATTAAAAATATATTTAAAATTTTACAAAAATTGATGCAGTTTTTTTAATAATTTAAAATGAGTTTTTTTTTAAATATTTTGTAAATATTTATTTGATACTTGTTTTGTTGTTTTTGTTACGTTTGTGCATAATTTAATTTCGTGCAATACAAATTTTATTTTGAGGCACTTTTTTTTATGTTAATACAAATTTTGAGTTTTGTTTTAAATTTATTTTAAGTTTTTTCTTGTGTTTAATAAACACGAAAATTACAAAAAAGTTATTTGGCATTTTGTGATTTGTTACAAAAAAAGGAAAATTTTTTTAAAAGAGATTTTTTTTAAGAAGCTTTAAGTAAATTAATTAAAATAATATTTTGGCATTTAACTGCACATTTATTATACATTTATATAATAAGAAAAATATAAATAATTTAACTTTTGTAAATTGTAAAATTATGAAATTCTTTTAAAGTTAAAAGTTAATTCGTTATTTGTTTATTTTCAAAAATTGTTTAATTTATTTGTGGTTTTAACTTCATCATGCTTCAAAAGGTGGTAAAAGTTTAGTTTAGTTTTGTTTTATTTTTGTCCTAAAGTTGAGAATTTGTTGTTGTTTTTTTTATTAAATAGATTTTAGAATATCTTTGTAGTAGTTTTGTAATGTTGTTTTAAAAGAAACTGTTTAGAAAATTTATTAATTATTTAATAAATCTGGCAGCTGTTGTTTTAATTTATATATTATTTATATAATAATAATAATAATAATTTTGGTGTTTTGTGGTAGTAGGTTTATATAAATCTTTTGTAAAGATATGTTTTCTTAATTTCAGTTTCTTTTACTTTCACTTCCTTCAATTTACAAAACACAACATCTTCGTTTCTTTCTATCCTTATGACGTTCCTCAATCAATGGCCTTTCGGCTATTTGAAATTTTCTCACCAACCTTACTAGCTCATGAAATGCCTGATCAATATTTATTCTCAATTTAGCACTACACTCTATATAGGGTATCATCATTTGACGACTGGCATTTTGTGCCTCTTCCAATGACACTTGACGCTGTTGTTCTATATCACATTTGTTGCCCACCAATAGCATGGGAAACTCATCGCGATCCTTGACGCGTAAAATTTGTTTTTGAAATTTGGCAATTTCATCGAAACTGGAATGATCGTTTAATGAAAAGACTAGTAAGAAGCCTTCACCCGAACGCATATACTGTTCACGCATAGCGCTGAATTCTTCTTGGCCGGCTGTGTCAAGAACTATAGGGGAAGAGAGGAGGGGAAGAAGAGGTTAAAAATTGTGTTTTTTTAAGTTCTATAATAAACTTACTATCTAATTTGGCTGGCACATCATCAATGACACATTGTTTGGTATAGGAGTCTTCGATTGTGGGATCATAGTCCATAACAAAATAACTCTGAAAAAGAAGAAATTAAATTTTAAAATATCGTATAATTTTAATCTAAAAATAAAAGAAAACAATAAATAAAATTTGTTCCAATAGTCTATAGTCTGGACTTTAGTCTTGTCTTTAGTCTGGACTATAGTCTTGTCTATAGTCAGACTATAGCCTTGTCTATAGTCAGACTATAGCCTTGTCTATAGTCAGACTATAGTCTTGCCTATAGTCTGGACTTCTCTATAAAATAAAGTCTAGTACATAGTCTTGTCTATAGTCTGGACTATAGTCTTGCCTATAGCCTGAACTATAGTCATGTCTTTAGCCTGGACTATAGTCTTGTCTATAGTCTGGACTATAGTCTTGTCTATAGTCTGGACTATAGTCTTGTCTATAGTCTGGACTATAGTCTTGTCTATAGTCTGGACTATAGTCTTGTCTATAGTCGGGACTATAGTCTTGTCTATAGTCTGGACTATAGACTTGTCTATAGTCGGGTCTATAGTCTGGACTATAGTCTTGTCTATAGTCTGGACTATAGTCTTGTCTATAGTCTGGACTATAGTCTTGTCTATAGTCTGGACTATAGTCTTGTCTATAGTCTGGACTATAGTCTTGTCTATAGTCTAGACTATAGTCTTGCCTATAGTCTGGGCTATAGTCTTGTCCATAGTCTGGACTATAATCTTATCTATAGTCTGGACTATAGTCTGCACTATAGTCTGGACTGTAGTCTGCACTATAGTATGGACTATAGTATTGTTTATAGTCTTGTGTATATTCTGGTCTATAGTCTTGTATATAGTCTGGGCTGTAGTCTTGTCTATAGTCTAGACTATAGTTTTGTCTATAGTCTAGACTATAGTCTCGTCTATAGTCTAGACTATAGTCTTGTCTATAGTCTATACTATAGTCTTGTCTATAGTCTAGACTATAGTCTTGTCTATAGTCCTGACTATAGTCTTGACTATAGTGTGGACTATAGTCTTGTACATAGTCTGGACTATAGTCTTGTCTATAGTCTGGACTATAGTCTTGTCTATAGTCAGACTATAGTCTTATCTATAGTCTTATATATAGTCTGGACTTCTCTATAAAAGAAAGTCTAGTCCATAGTTTTGTCTCTAGTTTAGACTATAGTCTGGACTATTATAATCTTGCCTATAGCCTGAACTATAGTCTTGCCTATAGCCTGAACTATAGTCTTGTCTATAGTCTGGACTATAGTCTGCGCTATAGTCTGAACTGTAGTCTGCACTATAGTATGGACTATAGTATGGACTATAGTATGGACTATAGTATTGTCTATAGTCTTGTGCATATTCTAGACTATAGTCTTGTCTATAGTCTGGACTATAGTCTTGTCTATAATCTTATCTATAGTCTAGATTATAGTGTTTTCAATAGTCTTGAGTCTAAAGTGACTCCTTTAAGTAAAAGCTTTTATTCTTATGACTAAGCATTATTCAAGCCTCTAAGGTAAATTTGTTAACATAAACCCAACAAGAATTTGCACCTTTATTTTGCAACACCTAGAAGGGCGTTTCGTAAATTCTATTCCATGAAAAATAAATATATTTCATATTTTACCACATATTACACATAAAAATTTATAAAGATAAACGATGTTGTTAAAACTATAATGACAAAACTAATTGCAATAAAACTTTAACATTCTGAGGTTTTGTTTTGCTGCATAAAAACCAACCACTAGAATAGAGAATACATATTTAAAAAAAATCTAATTTTAAAATATGAAATGAAAGAAATGATATCATTGTAAAAAATTCTAAAGAATGAAGAAAAATAAAAAGTACGACTTATAAATAAGTGAACAAAAGTAAATGAGTAATATTACATTTTAAAAAATATGCAGGTCTTATCGTCTTAAAAACAAAATTATAAAGTTCTAAAGAATTTACAACAAATGAAGTTAATGATGAAGAAAATCGAAACAAAAAACTGCAGCCAATAAACAAAATGGATAAATAAACATAAACACAACATAAGTATGATAAACTGTTGTATATTGTTATTGTTGATATTTTTATGTTATTTTTTTAACAAAGATGACGTAAATAACTAAAAATAAATAGAGCACAACAATTTTGTTTTATTTTGTTTTTAACAGAGACATAGAGATAAATTATAGAGAGTGTTAAGACTGAGAATAATAACGTACAAAAAAATGAACATTATGATAATTATGATGATGCGGGTAAACATGATGATCATGTTGTTTTAGTATAAACATCAAGGAAAATTCAAAAAATGTTTTGCAATTCTCTATGGCAAAAAGAAAACAAAATTATACATATAGACTTATGACTGATGTCTAATGATGATCGTCATCGCTATGGATATACATTTTTAGAAATTATTTAAATTTAAATTTATAACATTGTACAAACGTACAAAATGATCTTGACCATTTTTTTTTGGAAAAGAAAAATAATATTTTGAAAATATAGAAAAAAGTAAATAATCATTTGTTATTTATTGGCAAATGTTTATACAGGAAAACTTGCTTTTAATTAAAAATTGATCAGATTATGGTCAAATCAATCTATAGTCTGGAATATAGTTTTAACATAGTTGGTCTAGTCTAGACTGGTCTATAATCAAGACTCTAGTGAGGTTTATAGTCAAGATTATAGTCTAGTCTATAGTGAAGACTATACTCTGGTTTATAGTCAATACAAGTCTATATTCTGCTCTATAGTCAAGACTATATTCAGGTCTATAGACAAGATTATAGTCTGGCCTATACACAAGATTATTTTCTGATCTATAATCCAAACTATATTCTGGTCAATAGTCAAGACAATAGACAGCTTAAGATTCTAGTCTGTTACATAGTCAAGACTATAGTCTAGTCTATCGTCAAGACTATAGTATGGTCTATTGTGTAGACTATAGTCTAATCAATACAATAAGTCTACTGTATGTACTACAGTCTGGCCTATAGTCTGGTCTATAGTCAAGAATATAGATTATAGTCAGCCCAACAGTCTGGTCAAATATGTTAACTATAGTATGATCTATAATCTATAGTAGTCTACACTCAAATTCATTCAATCCCCAAACTTTTACACAAATTTCTGATGATTTAATCGAATGTATAACAAAATAAACTTTCATTCATAAACGTAACTTCCGGTTTAAACTACCAGCAATCAAATTTAAACCGTAAGACAAAAACTACAAATTAAAAAAAAAACACAATTTTGCAATGAATATATTAAATGCCTATTAAATCAAGCTTAAAAAGGTAAATTAATAATATATACCAAAATTTACACTAAACAACCAAAAAGCCCTAAATATTTAAAAGACAAAAAAGGAAACAAAAATGTTAAAAAACTTTAAAGTCTCAATACAAACAACAAAAAAATATTTGCATTAAAATTAGAAAAAAACAAGAAAAAAACAACACAAATAACGTTAATAAACAAAGATGTAGGTGTGGTTGTTTAAAAAAAAAAATAATACAACAAAAGATGATTTCTTGTTCCAACTACTAATACTCTAACAAATATTCTACAAGTTTTTTTATAAAATTTAAAAAAAAATAATTAAATTAATAAAAAATTTAAATAAATTTTCTTATTATTTAATTTTTAATAAACAGCAAATGGAAATCTGTTGCTCATAAATGCGCAACAGATGACAAATTTCATTTTACACAAGCAGACACTACCGACCGACATTAACCTCGTCAAAATGCCAGACAGCCAAACAAATCTAGTCATAAATTTTAATAATAACTTTATTTGTAGACTTTTCAGGGCCATCATCTAAAATATATTTGTTCAACTCTTTTTTCCACAATTTACCTGTATGAATTGTATGGTGATCGCAGATTTTCCAACGCCACCGCCTCCCACTACAACCAATTTATAGGTTTGGATTTGTGACGAGCCTCCGGGGCCTTGACCATTATGTTTCGACATTTTTTTTAAATAATTTTTATATTACTTGTTAATTAATTTATAATTTTCTTTATTTTAAATACGTTTAAATTATTATTTGCTTATAATAATGCACACAAATATATTAAAAAAAAATTTACTTATACACCAGCTAATATTAACTAAATTTAGTTCTCGTCTAATAAGAAGCAGAGATCTGCGCCGAACAAAAATTAACGTCGTCGGTGACTGACATTAAAAATTTCGACGGCGGTTACAAATTTTATGAAAGCCGGCTAAGTTTTGAATGGTATTTAAAATGCTATGTTCACACGGCAAGTTTATTCACGTAATTCTCTATCGGAATAACTATTGTGAATTAATTGGAATACTGTATTGAATTTTGAAACAAATACTTTTAAAATATTTCTCTCTCTTATAACGACCTCGAATCTTTTAATAAAAAGAACTAATTTTTTAGTCCTTCAAATACATTTTCCTTTTCTATAACAAAGCTCCAAAATGCTATATTTGAACAACAAAATCAACGAAATATGAAATAAATTTATATATAATTCATATTCATTAAATTGCCCAAAATTCCACTTTATTTTTTTGAAATTTGACGGGTCTCATGAAATTTATTATATTGACTGTATTCAAGAAATAAATAAGTTTAAAAATGAATTAAATGTGGATGCCGTTAAAAACATAAAACAATATGTTGAAAACTTAGCAGGCTCACTTAAGGACAATTTGAAGCTATCGCCTTAATTGTAAGTGCATATCAGCAACCGCCGGCCTAGTTACGGCTGACAACGTAATCGTAATTTAGAGACCGACGACACTGATATTTTCTTACATACGTTGCCATACTGTTCTTTTTAATATTTATAGTTAGTTAGTTAGTTAGTTAGTTAGTTAGTTAGTTAGTTAGTTAGTTAGTTAGTTAGTTAGTTAGTTAGTTAGTTAGTTAGTTAGTTAGTTAGTTAGTTAGTTAGTTAGTTAGTTAGTTAGTTAGTTAGTTAGTTAGTTAGTTAGTTAGTTAGTTAGTTAGTTAGTTAGTTAGTTAGTTAGTTAGTTAGTTAGTTAGTTAGTTAGTTAGTTAGTTAGTTAGTTAGTTAGTTAGTTAGTTAGTTAGTTAGTTAGTTAGTTAGTTAGTTAGTTAGTTAGTTAGTTAGTTAGTTAGTAGTTAGTTAGTTAGTTAGTTAGTTAGTTAGTTAGTTAGTTAGTTAGTTAGTTAGTAGTTAGTTAGTTAGTTAGTTAGTTAGTTAGTAGTTAGTTAGTTAGTTAGTTAGTTAGTTAGTTAGTTAGTTAGTTAGTTAGTTAGTTAGTTAGTTAGTTAGTTAGTTAGTTAGTTAGTTAGTTAGTTAGTTAGTTAGTTAGTTAGTTAGTTAGTTAGTAGTTAGTTAGTTAGTTAGTTAGTTAGTTAGTTAGTAGTTAGTTAGTTAGTTAGTTAGTTAGTTAGTTAGTTAGTTAGTTAGTTAGTTAGTTAGTTAGTAGTTAGTTAGTTAGTTAGTTAGTTAGTTAGTTAGTTAGTTAGTTAGTTAGTTAGTTAGTTAGTTAGTTAGTTAGTTAGTTAGTTAGTTAGTTAGTTAGTTAGTTAGTTAGTTAGTTAGTTAGTTAGTTAGTTAGTTAGTTAGTTAGTTAGTTAGTTAGTTAGTTAGTTAGTTAGTTAGTAGTTAGTTAGTTAGTTAGTTAGTTAGTTAGTTAGTTAGTTAGTTAGTTAGTTAGTTAGTTAGTTAGTTAGTTAGTTAGTTAGTTAGTTAGTTAGTTAGTTAGTTAGTTAGTTAGTTAGTTAGTTACTTAGTTAGTTAGTTAGTAAAAAACTTATGAGACTAATTAAACAACATTTTCATATTTTTGGAACCAGCATATTTTTCCATATTTTTGGATCTAGGATACCTTATTTTTTACTGCATCTGGCCACATTTTATTCTAAGTTGATTTTAACCTTTGACCATTTTAATAAGTGCAGCTAAAAAATCTCATGAGAGACTTATAACTATATATTAAGTTAATAGAAAACGGACAATTTTGTAATAATTAATAATAATTTTTTACACTTAATTATTAACAGAAGTGCATTTCTAATAAAACTGCACCTACTTTCAAAAAATTACTCAACTGTCAAAGTAAAATTCCTAGCAATCTGGTAACCTATAACTCCATCACTACCAATTTTAGCAACTACTTGATTATTTTCATTTTAGTACTAATATTGCAGCTTGCCATCTCCCTCACACTCACATATTACAGCACCCTGATGTGTTAACGGCAATTGGCGAAACGAAAAAAAAGAAAACAGTAAAAAAGTACCAACTACACAAGGCGACGACGACGATTACTCGTTATTTACAACACTAACTTTTTGTACGTCTTTTTGTCTTCGTCATTTTAGTTCTAAAAAAATTGTGAAAGAAAAATTTCAAGTGAATATTTTTCACGTTGAAATAAAAAAAATTATTACATATAGTGGATAAATATGGCGAGTCTTGGGGGCGAACAACAAATTTCAACAAATAATTCAGCAGGTAGGTGAAAATCAAGAAATAAAATCAATAAATCTAATAGGAATTAATGAAAATGATTCGAAAGAAATTTGTATGCGGTGATTAATCTAGCAGCGAAAAAAAAAAATATATGAAAAAAGAAAAAAAACTTGACAATGTATAGTGAAGAAAAGATGAAAAAAACTTGTGTGTGTCGGAAAAACAAATCGATTGAAAATCAGCCTTGACTAAAACGAACTAAATAAAAAAAAAACTAAAATAATAAAATAAAAACGCTATTAGCTTTGTGTGTGCAGTAGCGCTTCTCTGGAGCAGCAGCTGTTTCTTTACAATAAAAAAGTGTTGGTTAAACAAAAAATATAAAATTAAAAAAAAAAATAATAATTGTGTGGTACCAACATGTTACATTATTAGCAAAAAATTAAGAAAAAATGTATAACCAAGGCAAGTGTAATAAAGAAATTATAAGAAAAAGTTTAAAAATCCATGGAAAATTTGTTGTAAAGTAATGGAATAACAAAAGTTTAAAGTGTACATTTTTTTAAAGTTATTTTTTACAATTAGATCATTACGTTGCTGGTGATAATGATGATGTTGATGATTTATGTATTTCCTACATGTTTTTCTAATGTTATTTCAACTTTTAATTCGTATTCTCCATTAGCTTCGGGTTTGTGCTGTTTTTTTCATTTTTTAATTTGTGTTTTTTCTGTTTTTTTTCCTCTTAAGAAAACGCGAGACAATAATAATTTGGGAGTAACCTCGACGGAGTAAAAAAGTTAAAAATAATTCAAAGTAAATTCCAGAAAGCTAAAAGAAATGTAGAGTGCCAATGAAAAAAAGAAGAAATTTTATTTAGTGCGTTGCATTTTCAGTATATTGCACGGAAAGCGTAAAGAAAGAAAAACAGACGAAACACAGCCACAGCTGCCGCTTTTCTTGTGAGGATCGTAACATAAAAAAAAACTTGGTCTTGTTTTTTATTTTCTTTCATTTTTCTGCATTTTTATTACAATAATATGTCTGTTTCTTTTCTTTTTTGTTAATTTTCTCTTTATTCATTTCTAATTTTATACTTTCTATTTTAAATAATGTCTAACTTTTTTCTATGCAGATAAAAAAAAAAACTAAAGTTTTTAAAAAGGTCATTTCAATTTAATTATTTTTACGCCTTTTTTCTCCAGTGTGTTACAGTTTGCGATTTTTTACTCTCTTAATTCCTATTGGTATTTCTCTTTTGTTTGTAGTGTTTTTTTTTTTTTGCTTAATTTTCTTATAAGTGATTTTATTGTTGTAATCTTATAAGGTTTTTATAAGGATTTTCTTTATTACATATTCCTCTTTGTTTGACATTTTTAATGTGTTTTTTTGTCTTTTTATTTATGTGTGTGTTTGCTTTTATTGATTTCCTTTTCTTTTTCGTCAATTATTGCACTTGCTATCTGTCTGTCCGTCCGTCTGTCGGTCTCTGCCGCAGCCACCTTTTACATTTAACCCCTGCTGTGACGTGCGTGTGTGTGTTTGATTATTTGAGTGTCATTTTTAAGGTGAATAACCAATCAAATGCATTGTGTATGTGGTGTTTGTGTGTTTAGTTTTTCTTTTTATTTTAAGAAGTTTGTTAAAAAGAGGGGAGACATTGTTAGGAGGGTAGTTGAAAAAGTTTATTGAATGTAAAAGAAGATAAAATTGTAAATATATTTTAAAGGAGAACCTTTTTTTAGAATAATATCAAAATATTTTTTATAAAATTTCTTTAAAAAACATTTCTTAGAATAGTTCTACGACAGTTTTCTTTGGAACAAGAGTTTTCTTTAGAAAAACTTTTCGTTGAGAAGTTTTCCTTTCAAAACTTCTCGAACAACAGGTTTCTTTAGGAAACTTTTTGGACAACAGTTTCGAGAAACAGCTTTCTCTAAAAAACTTTTCGAGGAACAGTTTCCTCTTGATTACTCTTCGAGGAACAGTTATCTTTAGAAACATTTTCGCAGAACAGTTTTCTTTAGAGAACTTTTCGTAGAACAGTTTTCTTTAGAGAACATTTCGTAGATTAGTTTGCTTTAGAGAACTTTTCGTAGAATAGCTTTCTTTAGAAAACTTTTCGTAGAAGAGCTTTCTTTAGAAAACTTTTCGTAAACAGTTTTCTTTAGTGTACTTTTCGTAAAACAGTTTTTTTAGAAAACTTTTCGTAGAAGAGCTTTCTTTAGAAAACTTTTCGTAAAACAGTTTTCTTTAGCGTTCTTTTCGTAAAACAGTTTTCTTTAGAGAACTTTTCATAGAACGGTTTTCTTTAGAGAACTTCTAGTACAACACTTTTCTTTGAGGATTTTTCGTATATTAGTTTTCTTTGAAGAGAACTTCTTGAACAACAGTTTTATTTAGAGTACATTTCATAAAACACTTTTCTTTGGAGAACTTTTTATAGAACACTTTTCGTAGTGATTTCTTTAGAGAACTTTTTGTAGATCAATTTTCTTAAGAGAACTTCTTAAACAATAGTTTTCTTAAGAGAACTTATAAAGGTTAATTGTCCTAAGAAAACTTTTCGAACAACAGTATTCTATAGAAAACTTTTTGTTAAATAGGTTTTTGGGGAGTTAATCCTAGAACAAGAAACTGTTAGAACATAGAACACTTTTCTTTGGAGAACTTTTCATAGAACACTTTTCGTAAAGTTTTCTTTAGAGAACTTTTTGTAGATCAATTTTCTTAAGAGAACTT